TGACTAAATGGTGAGGCGTTCAATCCTTGTTCCAATCTTCATAGTCAAACTAAATTTCAATACAAGGTGATGTGGGTACGTGTGCTGCCAGGCTTCAAGCCTTAAAGGATTCTTAGAGAAACAAACCATTCACCCAGTTTATGCAACCATGAATCCAAATATCGAATGTCTAATTTGACAAAGCAAGCCACTATCAAACAGTGAAAACCGGAAAGTACACAGCTTGAACTAGGTCGCTTTCACTCATGACTCAACCAGGCATCTCCTTTAGTACATGTTGTTTAGTAATCTTGTACTACACACGTAGTAACGTATAGAGAGAGCTCATGACACAAATTGGGCAATCATTGATGGTTATCTTCAAAGATATTACAAAAAAGGAGTGTAGGCAATAAGGCAAATGCTGCAGTATTAATTTGTCTACGGAAGGAACTTGATAAAAGTTAGCCTAAGGCCCTATATATAGACCCCGCAGCAAAATCCCATACTTCTAATGTAGGACTCAAATCCCATACCTAGTAATTGGATCCCAACAGAACTTCAACTAATTGTACATCCCAAGTTCTGATAGGATTTTGTGTATATAATTATTTACTAATAACTAAGGAGTTTGTCATGAAGCAACTTAATTCCCACACAGAACTCTCAGATATAATCAGTGAGTAATTTCGATAATACAAATTGATATCACAAAAAGAGAGAATTTATCATGGTATATCCTCTCTCTCTCTCTCTCTCACTCTGTTTTCTCCTTTTGATATCATTTGACCTGGTTCACCTAAACCTACTGTTAGTATTTTGATGGAATAATAAACAATAAGGCAACTATAAATTATAAGTTTGCCTTGTTGAAATGGAATACCGGATAGAAATCAGTAACATCTAAATGTAAAATTACCTTTAAAATAGACCTGTCATATGTACGTGATCTTAGAGCTCCATAAAAGTCCAATGCTGTAAACAACAAAATAAATGAAAAATATAAAACCCTGATATCTCAGACATGATGCCTTCAAAATTCTATCCTCATTACAAATTTGGTAAATGAAGAAATAAGTTACTTCAGATAAAGAATGAAATGAAATAAGTTACTTTAAACCATATCTGACACATATAATAACTACCAAGCTTGGAATAAAATAGCTAGTATGTGGACAAGCTCGAAATTTCAACCATATTACTATCAATCCATGGAAAAATAATTAGGTAACCATAACATTTTCCTCTATATTACTTAATTTATGAAATAATAACATGTTCTTTATAACCACTCATTCATGCTTTAACAACATGACTGTTAAATAAAACTTTTCCTGACCTACATGATATACAGATGAGTACCTTGATTCGGGAAAGTGTTGACAACCTTTTCAACTTCATCCCTAGATATACCATCTTTCTCATACATTCTGTGAACGATATTCAGGATATCTTCAAGGTTAGGTTGCCTGTTCCACATTTACGGAAAACATTTTAATTTTAAGGAAGAGTGGTTAGTGGTTACCTACCTCCATGAAATAAAATAAATTCAAGTCATTACATAAGCAATGCGATATATGATGCAATCATTCCAAATATAGCTTTATCAAAAACATCAATAGTGAAAATTCCACTTGCAACACTAATGTAAAACTTCAACTAAAACCTTTTATCTATATATGAATCCTAAAAAATTCCCTTGAAATGATAAGTATGATAATCCTAGAACAAGATGGATTACAATTTACCAATAAAACTTATCCATCCTTCCATCACGAATCAGTGGAGCATAAATAGTTGAAAAATCGTTCCCTGTTACAATGATTGGAATTCTGTTTGTGATATCTGAATCTCGCCAATCTTGGCCAACACTAACTCTAGTAGGATTGTCTGACAGATTCATAAGAGTCCCAACAACAATTTGATTGTTAACTGTCATCTGAGTATTCCCTGCATGAAAATAGAAAAACCTCATTTAATCAGTAATTGACCAAAAATACCTGCAACACACAATTAGAGTTTAATGAACAAATAAGGGAGTATGTACCAAAAATTACATAGTATTTATGTTTTACCATTCTAAATCAGATATTAGCTTACCAAATCTACCAAGGCCAGCGTCAATATCGTTGATCATCAAACAGCTCATTTTCCCCTGTATCGGGGAAGCAATACTACATAATGTCAGCAGATTAAACAATTGCAATAGCATTACTCAATTCAAAAAATAGGTATTGAAGCTAGAGGTAAAACTGATATAAAGAATCTTGAACTTTCAGCCAAATTAGAAAGTAAACATTGGACATGTCAGCCTTCAAGATGTCATCACTTGGTATAAACATTGTTCAAATAACACTGGACTGCGTTATCAAATCAAGGAATTGCAAAAACATCGTTCAACTAATAAATATTCAAGATAGAGGTAAAAATGGTATATAGAATTTTAAACTATTTCAGCCTAATTAGAAGGTGAACATTGGACATATCAGCCTTCGGTATTCCTCACTAGGTGTTTTTTTACACAGCAACAGTCAAGTTGAAGGTGCAGAATAGGAGTTTGAGCTTTCCCTTTGTAAGTTAGATCCCTTTGATGGTAAATATGAATAAGGATTTAGGCCCGGATTCTTGCATTTTCCAATGAAAAGCATACACTCCAATGCAATTTCTTCCTTGACATTTTCAAATAAATTATAGGGAGGGTAAATTCCAGTAAGTTTGATTTGGATCTGTTAGTATTTAATTTTAAACTGTTTTTCATGTTTTCATTTATCAATATTTTTAATAATTTGTTTCTAGTATCTTCATCAAAGAAATGATAACTCAATGCAACATTTTCATAATACTTACAAAGAAGAGAAAATTGTAGCATTCAACTTCCATAAAACATGGAATATTATCTTTTTCCGAACCCAAATTCATGAAATTAATCACATAAAGTAGCATTTTAACATCAAAACAAGACATACAGAAAACTTTAAAACTCCTAACTTGATTCTGGACCACTTGAGATGCTGTTCTATAGCGTTCACGAATCAATTTTCCTGGCTCTCCTGTGAATGGAAATTAATAGGATGGGGATAATTTTACTGGTAAAACATAACTATGTATGAAAATACACGAGAATCAAAATTAAAGAAACTGCATAAGCATGCATAATTAAATCCATTTTGAAATAAGGGTAAGAACTAATGTAAACAAAAATTGCAATGAAAACAATTTCCAAATAATTCCATCAATCATTTTTGAGTGTTAAATGGGAGAACTAATTAACATCAGAATCATATTATATCACAAAACAGACATTACTTTGTTCGTTTTTAATATTACTTGCTGATTGCCTTGAAGGAACAACGTCTATTAAGTATTAAAGCAAGCAACTTACCAGCTCTCTCTGATTCTAGTTCCCCAGCAGACATAATTACAGGTTCAATTCCCATGGCCTGAAATATAAGTTCTGTTTGAAATGATTTCCCTTGCCCTTTTCCTCCCCAAATACCTGGAAGAAAGTAAAAATATAGTTTAAACTTTAAAACAGAATGTGCAAAACATTCCCAATTGCATTTAGATTGATTATACATGAAGCCTGAAATTTTGTGTGCATAGGTTTCACTTTTTGGGCCAGATTAAATATAAAATTATGTGTGAACTAATAATAGACTAAAAAATGGGCAGAATAGAGGTTTGCCAAATTAGCATCAATCAACAATCGCATTACAGATGGAGACAAATACAGTTTTTTGGTGGAGACATACAGTTTTTGAATAGATATTACGAACAGCTGGAAGCTCACAATAACAAATTTGTGAAAAGAAAGAATCTAAAAATCTAAAATTAGTCCCTAGTTATTTGTTATTCTACATTCTTTAGGGTTTTAAACAAGCTACAGGAGAAATCATTCGCAGTTTGGTTGATACCTAGAATTAAAGGAACTTTAGCATTGATGATATGAGCTAGGTAGTTCTTCACAATGTGACATACTGCATTGACAGAAAAAAAGAAGTTACAATAATGCGGATCATGTATAAGTAGCATTTTAAAGTTGAATACATAGAGTTATATAAAGGAAAACAGAGATGAATCCAATCCACAATATATGAATTTTGTGATTTTAGAATATTTTCCCGGCAAGATTGGAATAGTTATAAGTGCACGAACTAACTAGATATTTTTTAAGTGAGTGGGATAAGAAAGCAGAAGGGTTGATAGAGTCACAGGATGATAAACATAATGCTGATAGAAAAATAGAGAATGCATTTAGAACAGGATGATGACCCATGGTAATAGGAGTATGTTAGAACCATTTTCTTACTACACCAAAATGACTGAAGACAGTTTCTTCAGATTGGCCCATTTTGAAAGAACTTACCAACTTTGTCCTGTGAAAAAAAGAGTGAAGAAAAGCTGAAAAATTAAGTAGTATCCCAAAAAAAAAAGAAAAAAGGAAAGGAGTAGGAAGTTGGTGAAGGAATGAGTTTGTTATTACCATGAAGAGAGGAGCAATGTAATAATCGCCCTGGAGGTATTGAAAGGACCTGGTAACTTTTTGACGATAATCAAAGACAATATCCGCTGCAGGAGGAAAGAAAAGGCCCGCGTTTTGTTAATGCATTTTTGAGTGTGAGAATGAAAGAAGGAAAAGAATAATTACAATCTTTGCCGAGAAAGTTGCCGGCGAAGAGAGAATCGATGACGCCAGCACGCTGGCCGACGGCGATGTTCATGTTGTCAGCCTCTTTGCCAAGTCTGTAGAGATAATCTCTTCCCTCGGCGTCTTTGGCTTCCCACGACGACTGCTGAGACAACCTCTTCTCCTTCTTCTTCTCTTCCTCACCATCACTACATCGAATTCGCATTCTCATTCTCTGTGCATGTACCCTTGAATTTGAATTTGGAATTGGAATTGGAATTGGAAGAAATGAAGGTGATAACAACTTGGCCATCGCTCACAATTCCCCGCCACTCAATCCTATATTATATAATATAATATAATATAATATATATCTTGTCTCAAGTCTCAAGTCTCAAGTCTCAAGTCTCAAATATTTATTTATTTATATATTCAGCTTAATATTTAATTAAATTCGAAAAAGATAAATAAATAAATAGAGAGTAGGCGGTAATTTAAGAATGTTTGATTACAAACAAGATAATAAAAAGTATCTAGAGTGTGTTGTCGTAGGGAACGCCTGTAGAGGGAATCCAAGAGTCGGCATCTAAGAGATAGGAAGCAGTGAAAGGAAGAGCTTGGGCTGGGTGGAGAAGGCGAGTAACGCCAGGCCACTGAACTCTACCATCGGTGTGGGAGCCCGGCCCAAGATTTAGAAACTCAATGTAGGTGGCTTTGTCAGTGGGCTGGTGCGGCATGGGCTCCCAACCTTTAGGGTCGACGAAGGAGTCGATGTAAGAGTGGAAGATGGCCACTCTGGAATAGGGCCTCAAGGGACGGCCCAAAGTGGCACGCACCTCCGACTTTCGGTCTGAGTCCTGCGGGGAGATGGTGAAGTTGCATCTCTGGAAAGTGAAACCCGTGTTGTCGTTGGGATCCTCTCGCGACTGAGCGGTGAAGGTCACGTAGGGTCGGTAGCGTGCGTAGAGCGTGCAGTCCTGGAAGACTGCGGCTGCATTCCCGTAGATGAAGTCGACGGTGCCGTAGATGTCGCTATCTTTGTAGAATTGACCCCCTGAAACCGCCCACAGCGTGTCTTGGAGGCCTTCGATGGAGCACCGGAAGAATATCGTCTTCTTTCCCTCGTTGCGAACCGCCACTGCACCGCTTGCGTTCAGCCCTGCCCAGTTCGCAAATCCCATGTTTTCCGCCATGAACCCTTCTCCACGGATATCTGCAACATCACCTTAACTTAATGATTAATTGTGTTACCAGTAAAATAGATTTACAAAAACTATATAATAATCTAATAGTGGGTAATATAATAAGATCAATAATCGATAATTGATATAATAGAATGTAAGTTATAAATTTAACTCAATTTTATAAAATAAGTTATAAAGCAAAAATTATTTTTTCATTCATATATATTATTATATTTTTATTTTTAGTTGATCTAAAATTTTTAATAAATAAATTTGTTGATTTTTATAATAGTTTTATATAAAATAAATATAAAAATAAAAAAATAAAAAGATTCTGAAAATTTTTATTGGATTCATATTCCTGTTGGGATTAATTAATTGAATCTATTTTAACGTAACCAATTCGAAATGTCGTTCTTGCTCAATCCTTATTCCCCTTTTTAAAAAAAATTGTTACTTGAGAAAAATATATTGCGTGAGAATTTGAACAATGACGTAATTATGTTGACAATGAGCACAGTAATAGAAGTAACACTCAAAGTAGTTTTCAATTGGCAAATTATGCTCACTACATGTAGAATTTGATTCTGAATAATACAGCAACCACAAGCATCGATCTGCACAGTGACGCCGATGACGACGACCAATTAGGTTAGAATTATATTCTTGTGGTAGTTTGCCAAATACCCATATAAAAATAATAAAATATATGGTTTGGTTAATTATACAGTGATACGTACTAAGATTTTTGTTGGGCGTTGGCGCATTGGCATTTGTTTTCTACATTTTGTAGTTTAGACTTTAGAGTCAGTGATCTAATTAAAAAATTCATCAAACATCTGCTCTTCTCCTGAGTACATAGCTGTAATCTATCACACATCGGCACCTGCCTCTAATTGCAGGCGAGTATACCACCCCTTTCCTTAATTTATTCTGCCTTCAAATATAATTACCAAATCAAGAAAAGTTGTGCTGTATATATCATGGGAACGTGAAAGAAGAAACCTAAATATTATTTGATCCCGTTAAATTGAAGCATCGATCAATCAATCAATTTACAATGCATATTTGTTGCCATAAATTTGGTGGTGTAGCCTTCTCTGTTCCAACTCGATCAAATCAAAGTACGTACAAAAAACTCGATGGGTATAACTCTTAAATTATTTAGTAGTATTAACGAATCTTCCATTCACACTACGCAGTCTTCTACCATAAATTGCATGTTTATGTTAGAGTTAGCAAAAAAAAGAAGTTCTATATAGCCTTTAAAATTAAATACAAAAAAAATGGAAAACGTAACGGTGAAGGTTTTTGACTGTACTCATGATGATTAAGAAAACAACATTGAATACGTAGGTTAAGAAAATTAAGCAGCACTGAGAGGTGAAATAGGGATGCATGATTAATAATTAAGAAGAAGAATAAAATGAAAGGAGGTGAGTTATACCTATGGTGGAACCATTTTGGTAGCCAACTATTTTGGTGTGATGAGGTCCATCTCCAACGAGCTTAATATTAGTCTTATGAGAAGGAATGAGTATATACTCTTGATAAGTACCTGCCCGAACGTGAATGGTATAAGGTTTCTCACTCAAGTCCGGAGCTTCCGTAATGGCTTCACCCACCGTTCTATAATCTCCACTCCCATCCTTCGACACGATAACAGTACCGTCGCAAAACACTGAAACCCAAACTAAAATCAGCAACACTACTGCAACTGTTGACTCCATCGTCTAATTAGCATGCAATGCAACCACGTTTTTCTTCGATGACAACCACGTTGACTTGTCTTGTGTACACTCTCCTTCTATTTGCTTCAACATATATATAAATATATATAGATGGAGAGAAAATTAATAGCTTATGATCGACTCCTTAACTTCACAGGGGAGTCCAAGAGAAAGATGCCAATTTTTTTTTAATTTTTTTTTGGTGTTTAACCATTTAGACGTACGTAAGAGAGAGAGCGTAAGGCAAAGGGTCAAGAAATTATTGATTTTAAAATTTATCTTTTGGCTAAATTTATTCCTGAGTAATACTACCCAATGAAACTATCCAATATAAAACTCCAAATGACAGTGCAAACATGTGTAATGTAAAGATGCAATTTATCCTTTAGAAAAAAAAAATACTAACCTATATATATATATATAGTAATAATGGAAGTATAACTTGTGTCCTCTGGGTCGTTTATTTAAAGTGGTACCTCGTATGTGAATTCATGCTCAAACTATATTAAAATCTTAAGATTTTATTAAGACAAATATTAAACTACTTATCATCCTGTTCTATTTTGAGTAGTTAGGAAAGAATCCAATCAACTTTTTTTACTTTTTTAGGCATATAAGAATCCAATGAATTTTTGTAAAACATAATTAATAATATGGCATGAATTTCATGGTGGTTGCAAATAAAATTTTGCATCGAGAGACGCTATCCTCCCAACTTTTCTCTTACAAGTTACAACTAACGCAGGTTAGGTGACCTAAAACACCAAACTGGATTTGGTACAAAATTCGGAGAAGTCAAAATCATCCCTAAAGAAATAAATTATGGTTTAATTTTTTATATGTATATTCGAAGAAGTGCTTATATAATTTACCTATTTAGTTTTTAATTAGGTTTTAAGTAAATTTTTCTTTTATAATATATTACTTATTTAGTATATACAGTAAACATTATAAATGTTTATTTTTTTTATATAAATATATAATATACATATACAATATATTTTAAATTTATGATAAGTAATTTATATTGAAATACAATGTTATTTTTAAATATTTGATAATTTCTTATTAAAAATATTAAAATTCAATTTAGAATCAAAAACGAAAAGGAAAAATTAAAATAGATAAATGGTTCAAAAAAATCTAATATACAAAAATGATAACAACTTCTAAAAATCTTTCAATTTAAAAATATCTCTTAAAAATACTTTTGTTAAAGAATAATTACTAAAAATATTTTCATGTAAGATAGTTATTTTAATTTATATAGAGAGACGATTTGTGAGAAATTAAAAATAAAATCATTTTTTGTGTGTATTTAAAACATTAGGACCCAATTTTTACTGTGAATTAATAAAAACTTTATAGTGATTATAAGTAATTTATATTCATACTTGGTAGATATTTATATAACCAAATTAAACTTGTTCTAGTGAAATAAATTATTTTACATTGATCAAAACGATCTTTTTCTACATTAATTATGTACTTAGTATGTCTAATAAATCACCGTGTCATATGTAAATTGTATAATTCTTAAGAAATTCATTGCAAAAAAGGTGATTTTATATAATTTCAATTTATAGTCTCCTTTAATTGGCACAAGAATAATAATATATTTCATTACTAACAACAACATTCCTTTTATCGAATTCTATAATGTTTGTCTCCCATTCCATTTTTAAGATAAATTTAATTCAATATACCATTCTTAATATTTTAAATTTTAATTGATTTTAATTTACAAAAGGTTTGATTTAATTAACATAGCCTAATATTTTTAGTTTTTTAGTTGCTAAGTTTTAATAACCTAATTTATGTCAACTATTAATATAGTCTAATTTAGTTTTATAAGTTTTAAGTTAGGTTAGACACTAGTATTAGCATAATGATTAGAGGTAAGAGATTAAAGTAGTAGAAACATAAAGTTTTTTGTGTTTATTTTTTGTCCTACTATGAGTATCCTTAACTCATTGTTCGCGTAATGTAACAGAAATAAGGATTTAAGTTTGAGAGAAACCTATTTTGAGGTAGACTCATTTGTGGCCTAGTAATTTAGCATAGTTAATTATGGAGAGTTATTTAATAAATATTGCAGTAAATATTTGATCAGATTGAATGTTATTAATTAAGTGTATATATATAAGAAGAAAAGAGTTAGAAATATGAATTAGAATTATTAAGGCGAGCAGAAGAGAGGAGGTGAGATGGGGTTGGAAGAGGAGAGAATAAAGTGAGGAGGGAGATGGTTTTAGTGGATGTTGTAGGTAAAGGGCCGGAATACTAATTTGGGCCAGGAATGGGGAGTGTGGTAGGTGTGCGGTAGGTAAAAAAGTCTTTAGGAATAAGAAAAAGAAGGGCGAACCGAAATTAGGCTTTAATTAGTCAGTCCCACAGGCCTAAGGGTCTTTCCGTTTATGCCCTTTACCAACCACCACCGTAACCAACCTTGCCTTTTATTTATTATTACAAATAGAAATACAAATAGAATGAAGAAGGCAGGTGTTTTGTGAGTTGCTCTTCTCTTTCAAGTTTCACCACAAACAAATACTAGAATGGAAGGAGGAAAGGAATTCATTTTCAGGTCCAAGCTTCCCGATATCTACATCCCCCACCACCTTCCCCTCCATTCCTACTGCTTCCACAATTTGACCCACTACGCTCAACACCCATGCTTGATCAATGCCCCCACCGGAGCCGTCTACACCTACTCCGAGGTGGACGCCACCGCCCGGAAGGTGGCCAACGGCTTCAACAAATTGGGAGTGCAACAAGGAGAGGTGGTCATGATCCTGCTCCCCAATTGCCCCGAATTCGTGTTCGCTTTCCTGGGAGCGTCTCACCGCGGCGCCATGGCCACGGCGGCCAACCCCTTCTTCACCGCGGCGGAGATAGCGAAGCAGGCCTCCGCCTCCAAAGCAAAGGTGGTGATAACGCAGGCCTCCTACTACGACAAGGTGAAGGATTTGGACGTGAAGGTGGTGTTTGTGGACGCTGTCCCTGAGGGTGAGGGTGAGGGTCTCCTTCACTTCTCACAGCTGTGTGAGGATAGCGAGGAGGTGGATGTAAGAATCAAAGGCGATGACGTGGTGGCGCTGCCGTATTCGTCGGGGACAACGGGGCTGCCGAAGGGAGTGATGCTGACGCACAAGGGGCTGGTGAGCAGCATTGCGCAGCAGGTGGACGGGGAGAACCCGAACCTTTACTACGACTGCGATGACACCATCCTCTGCGTCCTTCCCCTCTTCCACATCTACTCTCTCAACTCTGTTTTGCTGTGTGGGTTGCGTGCTAAGGCCACCATTCTCCTCGTGCCTAAGTTCGAAATCAACTCCCTTCTCTCTCTCATTCACAAACACAGAGTCAGCGTGGCCCCTGTCGTCCCTCCCATCGTTCTCGCCATTGCCAAGTCTCCCAACCTCAACAACTACGACCTTTCCTCCATTCGGCTCCTCAAGTCTGGGGGTGCTCCTCTCGGTAAAGAACTCCAAGACACTCTCCGAGCCAAATTCCCCAACGCCAGCCTCGGCCAGGTACGTTAATCAATACTATACTCAACACTCAACCTTTCATCTCTCATTTAATATATATAATATAATATATCCATCCATACAGGGTTACGGAATGACCGAGGCAGGCCCTGTCCTATCCATGTCCTTAGCTTTTGCTAAACAACCCTTCCATGTTAAACCAGGAGCATGCGGAACCGTTGTCAGAAATGCAGAGATGAAGATTGTCGATCCTGAAACCGCTCACTCTTTACCTACAAACCACCCCGGTGAAATTTGCATTAGGGGCCACCAGATTATGAAAGGTACCATACCATGCATCATGCATGCATCTTACTACTTCATTCAACTCCCTTGCATTGCTTCATTCATAAAAGGAGATCAATTTTTTTGTTTAACAGAGAGGTGAGGGACACAACCAACGGACTTTTTCTCTTTCTCTTATTTCAATATTTAAATAACAAATTCATGTGTTTTCAGACATCAAAACAGACACAAATCATATTTTTGTTTCATATTTAGTTTTATATATATAAAAAAATAAATAAAAAAAATTACCCTGTGTGTTTATTTTTGTAATGATAATAGGAGGGTAGATTGGAAGTGATTTAATAGCTGCGTAGGTAGCTGTAAATAATAGAGGATGGGAAAGAAAAGTAGTTTGGGGGGCTGATAACATTGAAAGAGCGTAGTTAGTTCGACATGAAGAGATGATGAAAGGAAAATATTAGTTGCACGCACGGGTGATGAAGTGAATCGTGTTGGATTGGAATTAATGTTCAGGTTATCTAAACGATGGTGAGGCGACGGAGAGAACCATAGACAAAGACGGATGGTTGCACACCGGCGACATCGGTTACATCGACGACGATGATGAGTTATTCATCGTTGATAGGCTTAAGGAATTGATCAAATACAAAGGATTTCATGCTGAACTTGAAGCCCTTCTTCTCACTCATCCTAAGATTTCTGATGCTGCCGTCGTTCCGTAACTCCTTTCTCCCTTTCACAATCATTAATTATTCTAATAATACAACTTTCATAATTAAATATAACTTCAATTTCAGAATGAAGGATGAAGCAGCAGGAGAGGTACCCGTTGCATTTGTTGTCACCTCAAATGGTTATACCGACACGACCGAAGATGAAATTAAGCTCTTCATCTCCAAACAGGTCCTTTCATATTTTTATTATTATTTTCATCTTTGCAATCCAATTACAATTAGGACCATCACTCTTCAATCTTCTTTTACATAAGTTTCTTTTTTAGGACAAAAGTTATTAAATATATTCTCATTTATTCATTTACAAAAATTAAATTAAATATCTCCATAGGCTATTTTACTTTAGTCACTCTGTGCATATACAGATAACCCTCCCACAATAAATGTTAAGAATAATTTTAAAATAAATAATCCAAGTTTTTGATAAATTTAGTAATCTCAACTAAATTAACTAATTTTTAGTTCAAAGATCTTGTAAATAGAGAGATAAAAAGGTAAGGTAAGGTGGACAATATAATTTGTCAAAAAAATTTATAAATGCTGCACCTACCCCACCTCCCACCTAATTTTAAAGGCCTCAGTTTCAGGTATAATATAAATGTGTGTTTAATTAAAATATGTAGGTATGGAGCGTAATGAATGAGTTTGATTTGTGCAGGTGGTGTTTTACAAAAGAATAAATCGAGTATTCTTCATTGATGCAATTCCCAAGTCACCGTCAGGCAAAATCTTGCGTAAGGATCTAAGAGCAAAGCTAGCAGTAGCAGATGTTCCCAATCCCAAGTGAAAACGAAAGCCATTGTATGCATTATGCTTGAGGATTATGTTATTAAACCATATATGCTTCCTAACAGGAACAAGCTTGAGGATTCATACCTTTTACATGTATAAGTTACGAGTGTGATTTTCTCCAACAACTACTATCTTCTGTATAAATTGAATCTGTCAAGGACTTTCACCTTCTATAATATCCAAATTTTATTTTTTTTTTTGTAAAAATATATTCAATTGCATTTTTTTTTAATTTATTAGGATAGCAAAATTCCCATTCAAAAATTCCTTTTGCCAATTGAAGTGATAAACCTAATTGACACTTTGCTTATGACTTGCGATATTAATATGATTTAACTCTGAATTTTGATGACATATTTACAAATATAATTAAAATACTTTTTATTAATAAAATATAATTTCAAAGTTAATTTAAAAAATTATATTTTATATTTTAAATACTTGTAAAAATAAGTAATATCAATTAATATTTTCACTTTGACTAAGAATTTTAAATTTTAATTAATATTAATTTTAATGAGATATAATAACCTAACTATTATAGTTTTAATTAATTTTAAATGATCAAATATTTTAAAATTAATTAGTTTTAATTTTTGTGATTAATTGTAGCTACAATGGTTAATATCTCTCTTCTATAAATGTGAGATTTTTCTATAAATATTGAGAATCAAATATATCGAATAGTGCTCTCTTTTCTATTTTATCTTTTTTGAATTAAGAACTTATCCGTTATACATATGCAGTCTAGTACTAAAAAGATCTTCGGTCTAATTCTACATCATGTTGTATCTTGAGGGACTTTCATAAAAATTTGGGAATAAGTCCTTTAAAAAAATGCATTACACGCAGGGACGGATCTACTTACATCATAATGGGGGCACTTGCCCCCACTACCATTTTACACACACAAATTTTTTTTATCTAAAAATAATATTTTAAAAAATAAAAATTGTATTCTAATAATATATATATATATATTAAAATTATTGTATGTATAAAATATAAATTTTAATGAACTATTCATTTACCTAATATTTGTCAAACTTGCAAATGAGATTAGTTCTCATATGTAATAAAAAAATACTTCTTAATAACGAACTAATTTTTTAAAACAGTATAATTATAATATATATATATATATATATATATATTAATGCTCACACATATAATGTAATATATTGATTTTTTATAAAATAAAATTTACAGCATGCATGCTTATCTTTTGTACTTTCTATTTATTGTATATATTGATAAAAAAATCAAAAATAGTAAAAATTGTAAAATTGTATACATTGATTTAAAAATATCAAAATAGGAAAACTTGAAAGATTTATGTTCTATTTATAATTTTTATTATAAAATGTGTTTTAAAATAAATTATCATCTAAAAATTTATATTGTATATTAAAAATATGTTTATATCATAAATAAATTAAACTTGATTTTTATAAAATTTAACATATTTATTTTTATGTTTTTATTAGTGTTAAATTATTATTAACTAGGTCTTTAAGATTATAGTTCTAACCAAACATTTAAAAAATTTCTATGATAAATAAATATGTCATATTTAGAACATATATTTTTAAAAAAAATGTTAGGTTTAAATCTATTAAATTATAATATAACATAGTTTGACATAGTTTATTTTTATCTTTAATCGTAATTGTAGATATAAAAACTGTAAAAAATAATTATAATATATATTTATATTTTTAAAAGTTATATATAAAATTTTTAATATTACAAATATATGAATAAGTATTGATCCCACTATCTAAAATTTCTGGATCCGTCACTGATTACACGCCTTAAACATTTATATTAGTTAATGCTTTTAGTATCTATGGACAATAATCTAAAGGACTTAATTTGTCTTAATCAAGCGAAATAAAGGCCATGAAGGAAAAGTGACTGAACTAGTTCATTAAAAGCTAGTGGTCAAAAATGTAGTGTGGCTGCATATGGAAGAATAGGTGCATAGTTCACTTACACACACCATGAAGGGTTACCAATCTAGGTAAACACATGTAGTAAATTCTTCACATTTAGTAAAAATTGGAAACGCTTCTTGCTTCATGCACCAGAAGCACGTGTTGACTGGTATTCAAGTATATCTATACTCAAACCTATCTTTATTTTTGTCTTATATATAAGCAATAACATATGATTATTTCCTATTTTTTAAACTCTTATAGCTAACAATTATCAATTTAAGTTAATTAGTCAATTTTATCTTCAAGCTTATATAAATATGATTGTAATGAGATTGATCTGTAGGTTATCAATATATTTCTCATTCTTCAAAAATTTGATGAGTTCTTTTCTTTCTTTTTCTTTTGACTCTAAAAAACCCTAGTAATTGGTTATATATATATATATATATAATCATATGAGATGGTTGGCGGAACAACTTTGCTACTAAATATTGTGATGATTCTTGGATCGATCACCGAACACTTTATTAAGAATCTTGCATGATTCCATATTCTATTATTTTGATATTGATTAAATTTGTTAATTGTTACATGTTGCATTTATATATCTTTTAATTGTTGCTATTATTTTTAGCACATTGTCTTAAATATTTGAAATTATTTATGGTGATGATGTGACTTTGTATAATTCAATTATTTCAATTGCTACGGGATAACTATGAGAATTGATGGACCACGCCAAACAAGACAATTAATTGAGTGTGGTGACAATTAATCGATGACAATCATTTTAATTAGTGAATGTATGTTTTCCTTTCATTTTTTAAGTGTTGTATATATTATTGGAAAACTAACCATGTTAGCATGAATAAAAGGCTTTTTACATTTATGTGTTGTGTTAAAACCTTTTAGGTGAATTAAAAAAAAATTCCATGCATGTTTGTGTATAAGTCAAAGTTAATTTTTGAGAAAAAAAAAATGAGGAGTGATGAAGGGGGTAAGAAGAATAATTGCGAGACATTATACGAAAGATGACATAGACAATTAATTCTAGAATTTTTCTCCATAGTGGGAAGAATTAATTATTAGTAGATTTTCATGTATGAGATGAGACTTACCTTAAAACTAATATTATTATATATATTGATACCTTGATGATATGATGGTATTATTGATGTGAGCCTTTTGAGATTAACTCTTAAAAGTTATTGTCATTTATGACATGAATTAGTAGAAACGTGAAATTGTTAACAATTCTAAGCACCATAATTGGTTATAGTGTCAAATATGATGTTATCCATATTACAAATTTTACGTAACAATGTTATAGAGATTCCATAAATTATATTATTTAACATTGTAAATTTTTCATGCTATTAGAAAATACAATGATGATTAATTGAGTCTTGGATCTACATGAGACAAAATTCATTAATGTTGTGTCATCATACTTTGTTGTAGTGAAATTACTTTAAGATCAACCAATAATAATTATTGAATTAGAGTTTGTTACTCTAAATATAGTTGATTATAAGACTTAATAGTTGAGAATATCTTAGTTAATATTCCATTGGGAATATAAAATTAAGAAATGATGTGACATAGCAATTGCTTGAACATTGAAATTTATTGATCATATGTAGTCAATAATGAATTTGGTCGATCGTTTGACTTTAAACCCTTAGGGAAGATATTATTTACAATACATCGTGAGTTAATTATAAACATCGAGTGAATGAGATTTTATTAAAACCATTTGAAACAAACAGTGATGGTAATCCAACCTTTATAATTAGAGATATCATGAAGAAGGTTAATTGGGAAAAATAAATCACATATTAGTTCTATTGGCACTAAAATTGATTTTAATCAATTTTAATTTTTTTTTATCTCTTTCTATGGTGTGAGAAAGTGCTAAGGTTGCATTAATGAGAGGATAATCTTTATACTTAAACTTTATGTGATTATGAAAAAGTTTGACCTCTTATAAAGGTTTTAATAATTTTCATATCTCTTATGGGTGGTGTATGAATTTAAGTATGCACATGATAAAATCCTCTCCATGAGTGTAAGTGGGATCACTTTTATGGAGTTTTGATAAAATCTCTAAAGAACACGTGAATACTGAACATGACTTGAAAGTGCAACACAGTAATATTGATAAAGATTGTGAAGGTGTATTGTGATTGGTTAACGTTTAATGCACGCGAGTGTTTTGGGTTCAATAATGTACTACACTCACTACATTATGTGTAAAGTTTTATCAATCTAGGTTTGGTTCAATAACTTATTACACCATATTTGATGCATTATATCCTATAGGAGAACCTATAATTTATTTTTAAACCTTTTGACATATGTGGAGAATTATTGTATATTTTGAGGTATTTTAAAAGGTTAATTTATTCATGAAAATATTTTAAATTTAAATTTAAATTTATTATTTTATTAATTACAAATCTTAAAATTAATTAATATTGACTTTAATGAGATAAAATATACTTGATCATATTGTTTTAATTAGTTTTAAATGATCAAATATTTTAAAATTAATTGATTTTATTTCTCGTGATTAATTATCTACAACAATAAGTATTTCATTCTATAAATATTGATAATCAATACTTCCTTCTTTGTTCTCTCTTTTTTAGGTTCAGTTCTACTTCATGAGGCCGGTATTAGAAAAATCAATCTAGTACCAAAAAAATCATGTTGTATCTTAAAATACTTACGTAAAAGTTTACAGATAAATCCTTTAAAATAGTATATTGTACATCTTAGAAATTTAGATCAGATTGTGCTTTTAACATCTATGGACAACATTTTTTTGAAAATATCTAGAGAGAACTTAAAATATTAATGTACCCAAAAACAAATATATAAACTTCCTCCTAAGGTTAAGATAAGGCAAATTAAATTTTAAGCCTTAAACCTTACTTTGCATAACATGTAAGAAAATATGAAAAGTGCATGGTTATTAGTCACACCTAAAAAATTGACGAGTTCATACTGATCAACATGCCAAATTACCCGATACCCAATTCTGAATAACTGGGAAAAGTAAGTATGATTGGTGTTAACCCCTCTAATAATTTCAAATAGACGCCACAAAACCAAAAATGAAAGAAAGATTTGCAATGATTGGTTACTTTCAACGTGATTCATTGGAGATATGAGAGCCGAAAGGCTACAAGATTTTATGGTGAATGAATGACAACTATGGAGATAAAAATAATACAGATAACATACTTTCAAAATTCAATATGATACATGGCTAAAAAATTTCAGTACAGTAAATTGCTCGTGATCACTTCGGGGGTTCCCAGGTCATGTTGAAAGCAGGTTGAAGAATTTTCTTGAACCCTTTCAAAAACCCTGCTTGCTACCTTTCTGATACAGAAAATGGTAAAGAAATGCAGCATTGAGAACTGCCACACCTACACTAATATTTAGTCATCACCTGTACCAGATTCCACAAGCAGTATTACAACAGGCCATATGCATACGTCAAATAAACAGCCGAAAATAATCCTAAAGAAGCAAATGGGGAAGACGCATGCATATATTCTGATTGGTGCCAAATTGACAGAAGCCAAACAGTGGACATCCTATCTAGGGGATAGACTATATTTACCATAATATAAACCCCTCTATCTTTACTTGTATCAAGGCCTAAGAGATTGATAAGTGATAACAATGTAGATTAGATTCTGCAAAGATAAATTGATTAAATCAGAAGAATTTGGTGAACAAATTCCGATAGGCATCATGATATGCCACGTGACTTACTAAAAGTAAAAGGTTCAGTGACTTCAGCCTTCCAAAGGCAAGATCAAGGAACATTTCTAAGTGTAAACATTTCTGTTGAGAGTGGAGTGCCTATTTAGCTAAAGCATTTAGATAGAAATTCCCCTAGCCGAAAAATTCTAGAATTTCATCTTTTCAACAAAATCCATTTGTATCCAAATTAATTAGGCAGTAATGAACAAGTATATTTGATTTTGATTATAAGAATAATATATACTGTTAGGGATTATGGTGATTTTACTTAAATTCATCAATAACTCTTTTTTGCTGAAATGTCACTACCAAATCTTCTTTGGTATAACACATTCAAACTAGAAAGATGGTACTCCAATGAACCTGGAAGGTTCCAAGCTCTAGTGTCCAGAAGTTCATGCCGTTTGACAGAAGATATAGGCATGAAGCAATGGGGAAGAGACAAGTAGTTGGATATATCAAACAAGGGAAACAACAAACTAGGCATGTTGTTAGAAATTTACTAAGCACAAAGAGTAATAGTGTAGATTTGACTAGCTTCTGCCTCATATATAAGTCTACAGTGAACTCATGCAGTACATTCACAGTAACTCACCACTTTTAGGGTCTACATGTACGAAAAAACTGGCAGCTACTATAAGATAGCACAGAATAAGCATCAAGCCTTTAAAATAATTTGAGGTTCCTTCCTGCAAGGAATTATGTAAATTAAAGATTGCTGTAGCAAACATACATAATATAGTGGCAACAAAAAAAAAAAAAGATACAGTAGAAAGCTAATGCATCGACTAAAAAGTAACTTTGACTCAACATGACAGGACGAAAGACGTAAGTCTTAAATACCCAAAACTGAACACACTGATACTTTCCCAGCATATGTACGAAATCTACATTGGAATACATTTTTTTTTTTTTAAAAGAGAAACGCAGAATGAGATTATCACAGCAGGAGACATGAAATAACATTCCATATAGTGAAATGAAAAACCAAAATGCTTAAAATGGATTCTCATGGCATGTTGCTCTCTTTGCCTGATTATGTTACAAAAGTAACACATTTATATAGATTATATTATTGAAGGACCTGAACTTTCCTCATCTCATTTTGCCTGATTTATCTATCATAACCACATTCTCAAATGAAGAGAAACCCAATTCAAATACCACATCTTGATGCAAAACGGGAATATGCTCATTAAAATGTAAAAAAATTTCCAGCTTGTGTTTATTAAACATTTAAGATAGCAACACCTCAGCCTTCAAATGAATTATTGAAGTCGATTCTGGAATTTTAGTATTCGTACAAATAAAAAAAATTTATTACTGTTGCCTAATTATTGAAATAGGTTTCCTAAGAAATAATCATGAGACACAACATACTAAATTTTATATCAGACAATGATGAAGAATTGAGTTAATTCAGAATTCCCCTAGGCCCCCTCTGTCTCTCCCCAGTCATTTTGAATTTTCACTCTACATGAACAAAAAATTCAGACTTCGCTTGACTAAACATTTTACAAGAGAACTAGCTTCCAACGATTAATTGCTTATAAGTTGGGAAACATTAACAACCGCTACCAGCCTACCAACACATTTTATAGGGGCAAGTAAGAAATCAAATACCTGCATCATAAATGCAACTACCAGCACAGTGATAAAAAGTGTGGCAGTCTCAAAGAGTTGAAAATTCAAGTCCATTTCTTTTCCCATGCACCATCCAACAACCACACAGAAGGGGATCTACAATTTTCAAGAGAACAAGAATCATCAGCTTCCTCCAATGATCATCATCTGATTAACTGATTTTAAAATGCTAATAAACACAAGAAATGTTTCCTATGGTAAGGAGAAATTCAGGATAGTTTATTCACAAAAAGATTTAGTAATGGTATACCCCGAATAACCATTTAATAACAGTTCAAGGCCATACCACAAACATAGATATCTGTGTAGATGATCCAATAGCAACTCCGATAGTGATATCCTGAGGAGATATTGAATCCATTAGCAGATTAAACATTATTTATAGAATAAAGAATAGGCTTTGAAAGCCACTTACAAGCTTGTCCTTCATGGCAAACATGATAGCACTGGCATGTTCTGCAGCGTTCCCTACAATTGGAAGCAAGATGACAGAAATAAAAGCCACTGACATATTCAGTGAGTCAGATGCTCCCTGCAAGAGACCAGAAAACAAAATGTTTATGAATTCTACCTATTACGCAGAGTTTATGGACAAGAATGGCAATATTAGAGTTTCTAATGGTCAACAAGGACAGGAAAATGCAGACATATTGTAACAGTATAAAATCTCAAACCACAAAGCAATCACAACTATCAAATAAAGTGATTAGGTCCAGGCAAAATAAAGATTTGGCAGCACTACATTCAGCCCACCTAATATAGAATCCCTTCATACTGCTCCTGTTTAGTTTTTGGCTCAGCTAAGGTTTTTAATGAGGATTGTTGGGTCGGGAAGTTTAAAAATCAAGGAGCATCCACAATGGATAATAAGTAAACCACATAAGTGAACTTGACACCACAACATAACTTAAAACCTTAAAGCATTAGGTAGGTAGGTCTTTCTCACTTATATGTTACTCAATATGCCTTAACTTTAACCGATGTAGGATTCACTTCACACTTAAACTCCAACGCTCTCCCTCAAGTGTGACCTCAAGTGTGAATCATGAGTATTTAATGGTGGCCTACTTGCACCGTATAAGGGATGATCCAACTCTTGAATCTCCTACCAATTCTATTATTTAGGATCTCACTCTTGAATTCATCCACTGCTAATTTTATTGGTCAATACTCATCTAAGCCAGATCGGATCTCACTCTGATACCACTATTGGGTCGGCGAGTTTAAACACCAAGGAGCATCCACAATGGGTAATGAGTAAAATACATAAGTGAGCTTGATATCACAACATAATCTAAAACTTTAAGGAATTAGGTAGATAGAACTTTCTCACTTATATGTCATTTAACATGTCCAACTCCAACCAATGTGGAACTCACTTCACACTTGAACTCTAACAAGGATAAGTGTGTCAAACACTTTACATATAAGATTATCTTTCAAGTGAGAGACCCTACGAATTAAATGATTGTTAGACTTTTAAATTTATTAAGTGATTATTATCTAACATAAAATTTTATAATAATAAAGAAAAAAATATCCCCCTTTTAATGATATTTTATGTAATTGCTACCCCAACAAAAATAGTTTAGCTCCATCACTGTGTCAATTGCAATTTTAAGAAACAGCAGCTCAACCAACAGCATATTTAATTGTTAAAATACAATTTTTTTCCCAACAAAAACAATAAGACCAAAACATCATAAATACTTCCAATAGAACATTAGGGAATTGTATGTTGGATAATATAATTGCATTGTGTTATATTGAAGTGTTGGTGAGTTGGTCTAGTATTACTGTCCAGTAGTACTTGATCCAGATTATTAGATTAGTACATATAAGGGTATAAGGCCAGCATTATATATCACAATTATATAAAATCCCGAGAATGTGATCATGGGAATGTAATATGCCCATGTTTGTTATGAGTTATAGAAAATGATTCCCGAGTATAATTCATTCTCAAGAATGTTTCCATACCATGTTTCTTACTTATTATTTCCACGTTGAGAGTGTGGGAACATGATATTCCCATGGGAATATTGAAAGTTACACTGTAACACATTTGTAACTTCCATTTTTGATTAATTTTTATTTAAATTATTTTAAAATTTAAAAAATAATCCAAGGAATATTAGGATATAATCAAACACATTTTCTAAATATACCCAAGAATAACATTTTGGTTAAAATATTTCTGAGAATGCAATTCTTGGGAATACAATTTGATACCTTGAAACAAATGCCCCTTGTAACTCCCCTCATTAATTATTTTCTATTTAAATTGTTTAAAATTTCAATAGATATCCTAGAGAATATCAGAATATAACCATACACATTTTTTAAAATATACCCGAAAATTACATTCCATGAAATATTCCTAGGAATGAGATTCCTGGGAATGCAATGTTATACCTTGAAAGTTGAAACAAATGCCCCCATACATCCCACCACCAAGAATCCTATTTGATTCACCCAAGATTCCTAATTTTCTTAGACATCTCATATCAAATGAGATTAGCACTACTTTATGATTCTCAATTATCTTCCCCAACTATCTTTCTCTTGAAAGTCAATTGTTTATCACCTTTGAGCTGCCAATACTTGATTATTGGATCACTAACTAATCAGGTTTTTTATTACGGCTCTTAAAATGAACATCAGGGATTAAGGCCTTATATTGTGTAGTAAGACTATTTCATGAAATCATAAAACAAAAATTATGAAGAAAATATAAAGGCTCAAATTCAACATTCCACGAGAATAGAAGCTGTAGTGGTTCAATACAATAATAGAAATTAATGATCATGAAATTCTGAAAATGGTATAGCTATACCTGAATGGCATCTACAAGGTATCCAGACAATACAGATACCCATGCTGTTAAAATAGCAAGCCAGATTATTGCCTCCCATTGAGTTAATTCAATTTCTTCCTCCTCATCAGAATTTTGACCATTATCTCCTTCCTACATTATAAAGTGTGAAGATTATGTGTAAATGGACAGTTGAATAATGGAGAAAAACTGCATTTTAGGCACCAGTTCATTCACATAAACTCTTTATAATTAATATTTTGAGCAAAGCCGCATACCTTCATTGTGCAGTGGCAGATCTAAGTTCTGACAGGGGAAGTCATGTCCCCCAACTTTTTACAATATGATATTTTGTAATATTCTCAAATACTCTTTAAAGTTGGTTATTTCTTAATTATTAATATTTTCAAATCATTGAAAGAAAATAGAGCAACAATTTAATTTAAGGTAAAAAAAAAAAATACATACATATATACATATGTAAATATTATTATTATTATTATTATTATTATTATTATTATTATTATTATTATTATTATTATTATTACTACTACTACTACTACTACTATTAGTGGGATCGAGATACTTCGTACTTCTATATTTTATTCACTAAAAATGTTTTAAAATTACTAATGTTTAGTACATCAATTGATGTTACATTTGGTCTTCAAACCTAAAGGTCATGAGTTTGAGTCTTATCTCTATAAGAATGATTAATTTTTAATATTATTTTTTATTATTTAAAAATTTAAGGGTAAAATCATCCAAAAAAATGTGTACACCAAATGGGACAATCCCCTTTATTATATGTTATAGATTATTATTATTATTATTATTATTATTTCATATAAAAAAATTATGTTAATATTACACTTCATGTTTCTGCTTTTGATAATATTAACCCTTTAAACTAATTTTAAGCATTACAATATGACTATTTTCATTAATTAAATACCTTTTCAAAATTTAAAAATATTTTTTTGCATTTTTCAAACCCGTTTATACAATTTGACTTGAGTCTGCAGAATTTCCTTATGGATTTTTCATGCAATTTTTTCTATGAATTTTGTTATTTTACGATTTTTTTGACAAGAATTTTCAGAAGAATTTACTATGATTTTGACAAAATTCTATTATTTCATTAAAATTGTTGAAATTTTCATTTTAAAAAATTATTTTGCATATTCTCATGTAAATTTTGTATTGTACAAAATAAAAAACTTGTTTCTTGCAAAAATTCTCAAAAAAAAAATAAATACAGAAACATTCCCCTATTTCTATGCTTTAGTGGCAAACAATGGTATAAAAGGCATAGCAAATGAAACTTGACGAGTGTTAATATCAATTAAAAAAATAATATTATAATAGACAATTGATTATAAAAATAGTTAATTTTATCAAAACCGTTACATTTAATTTATACATTATAATTTTTAGACTTGAATATATTTTTAGTCTCTACAAAATGAGCAAATTTTTATTTTGATTCTTGTAAAATTGTTTATTTGTTTTTCATCCCTCTAAAGTTGAAATCATTATTTTTGGTCCTCTTAAAATGAACAAAATTTGATTTTAATTGCTGTAAAATATATTTTTTTATTCCATACCTCTGATATTTAAATTTACTATTCACTATTTTTGATCCTATTATTTATTTTAAGGTAGATAAATAACATTTATTTTAAGAATTTAGAAAAAAATTAGTAGTGATGCATCATGACATGGTACCATAAACATTAGTGGGTGCCGCTAAGAAGGTCACTTGATCTCCTGGGTTAACAAGTGTCATATAATAATAGGAACTCAAAACAATGATTTAAAATTTTTGATGAAAACCAAATATTCTTTTTTACTAAAACTAAAATCAAAACTCGCTTATTTTATGGGGACTAAATCCATATTTAACCCTACTTTTATTAATTTGGCTCCAATTGTTTTTCAAGCTCTGCTACTATCATCATGAATGTTGTAAACGAAGTTCAAACATAGCTTCTAGTGTTAATATATAGTTTGCTTTGATGAAGCAAAAAGAATGATAATAGCCTTACCATTACGGTTTCCCATTGTCTTCAGGAGTCTATCAAAATTACACTTAAGATCCAACCCTCAGTCCCTCACAGTCACACAATGCCTAAGTAGTTATTTCTCCCGGTTCTTCATTTTTAAAATATTTTCCACCCACACTTTTGGCAAGATACTTAACTAATTAAAATATTTGAATCTAGTCAACAAAACACCTTTTTGTGTGAGTGTGTGTGCGTTTGGGGAGGGGTAGTGAGAGTGTAAGACTCTGCATTGCCGACATACACATTATCATATATATCTTTCATCCACTAAACTCAACCATGTGTCTTGAAGTTGGTTTAACCTGTAAAATAAGGCCCTACTCGCAAAATGGCGACTAGTAAATGTGTAATACTAATTAACACAGTGAAAATACAATGACTGAATGAATAAGTACATGACCATAGTTGAAACAAGTGGGATATACATATTCATCTCCTTAAATAGTACCATGAAAATTCCAAACATCTACCGTGCCTCTATGCAGTATATTTCTAAAAAATAGAAGGGCTTCGCCTGCACCCCAAGGGCATCACATGGTGCATGACAAGATAATCATACATCATAAACCTAAGAGACAAAGCTAAAAAAAGGGCCAAAGGAACTAACCTCATCAACCGGACTATAAACATTTTGCTGACTTCTAAGTTGAAAGAAAAGGTAGCTTGCATAGGCCACTAGCATTACACAGCTGCTAAATCTTGATAGAGACAAGACTGACTTCCCTTGATGGAGTTCTGAGTGAGTAAAGTAAAGCACCGCAGGAAATAGTGTTCCCATTACAGCCATCAAGAGTAGCCCAGAGTTGACAACAGCAGCTGCCTGTTGCAAAGGCCAACTACAATGTGAACTCCGTGACATCAGGAAGACACAAATGCAAAGTAACAAGTACAGGCACAAATTTTGAATCAGGTCATGATATGTACCTTATCGAAAACCTGTACTTTTTTGTAGTGGGCAAGACCGCCAGTAAAGAATGCACAGCCAAGAACTAGAAGCATATTTGACAAGATTGAACCAAGTAAAGATTGTTGAACAACCCTTATCATATCGCTTTTCAATGCATAAATGGATATAATCATTTCAGTTGCATTGCCAAACGTGGCGTTAAGAAGACCCCCAACTGCAGATACGAGCAGAAGTCAGTTCAGCTTTCCATGTTATATATGTTATCACCAATGAAGTTGGGCAGGGTCAAAAGTATTAAACACGGTCATATGTCATATGGGTGGAACAAAAGTATATGCAATCTAAAACAATATAATAGAGATTTACCTGTTGGTCCTGTGTAGAAGGCAAGCTGCCTACATGAAAGATAAGGAAATTGGGCGTGTTAGTAGCAGACGTTGATAGAAAGAGAGATTTGATTAGAGATGTGAAGAGTGAAGACTTACTCGGTAGCATAGCCCAGACGTTCTGCAAGAGGAGTAATACCCAATAAAGTGAAGAAGAAGACCCATCCCTAACAGAAAGGAATTAATTAATTAATTAAAAAAGTTAAAATAGGAAATTGATGATAAAAGTCAAAAGGAAAGGGGAAGCGTACATGGTGACCGGTTAGGTAATGTAGCAAAATGGCGAGTGGACCAAAGGGAAGCAACATGTTGATCTTAGCTTTAATCAAGACGACATATACACTCCTGCTCATACGTGTAACGTTGAAGATGGAAGACCTGCGGAAATCAACGACGGAAGTCTCGAAATTGAAAGTGTGAACTTTAGAGATGGAAGCAGATGGAGAAGAAGAGTGGAAGGGAGTGTGGTCGTCTTCGTCAGGAAAGTGATGAGGACCTATCTTCTCCTCTACCGAACCCATTTCCTCAACTGAAGGCGCAGATCCAGCAACCAAGCCTTCGATCCACCTTTCTTCTTTCTTTATTACTACTATTCCTAATCCTATTGGCGTTCGATGGCCGGCAACGATGCGATGCTGATGCTGATGCTGCGAGGGAACCTTCTGCGAAATCTCTCTCTCTCTCTCTCTCTCTTTTTCAAATCATCATTAATATTACCATTACTCGTTCAACACAGTACAACTAATGCTTTACACGTCAATGCATTTTCCTTCTCTTCTACCCTTTCCTCTTACTAATTACCAATTAAATATTACATACTGCCCATGTGTCTTGTCTTGTCTTGTCACTATATACACACACCATCACACCTTAAATCCTTATACTTTGCTATCAAATTTCTTACATTCATGTCTATAAATATTATTCAAGTTTTTCTTGTATATAAAAATGAGATATTTGGTACCCTTGTAATTCAAGAAATTTTAGGATATGTTTGTTGAAAGACTTCAAAACTAAAGCTTTTCTAATGGGCTATCCCAAATTAGAATTGAAATAAGTGTGCAATGATCTCGCGACATTCTAGATTATAGGAGTAATATTATATGCCCCCAACGACTATAGTCTAAAAAGACCAAAGGAAATTAAGCCGCTCTTTATTTAAATATTTTACTTAATTATCTGCCTCATGTTTCCCAATTCAGCAGTGTTTCATCTTCCGGAAAAATAAACGTCTGAATCACGTTTCGAAAAGGTTAAAATATTATTTTTATAATAAATTTATTATAAAATAATTATTTAATTTAATATTTTATAATTTAAATTAATATTTTATTTTTTCAGAATGATTTTCGGAAGATCTGTCATTTTTCTTCCCAATTTTGGTCTTTTTTCCAAAGCAGTAATTTTTAAGGACACGCATAAACATCAATCAAATCGCAATCAAGAACAATGCTAGTTTCCTCTGAATAATCGATTCAAAATGCAAAATGTAATGTGGATGGATCGGTTTTTGAAGTAGGGATTTAACTTAAGTGAGTAACGATAAAGTAAGTCATTTTAGTTAAGAAAATTAACTAATATTATAACATTTATGATTTGTTATATATGTACATATTGTATATAATTATATAATATTGATTGTTGATTTTTTTCATCAATGACTTATTTTATTTACAGCATATTTGGGTTTTCAAGTAATATCACTTATAAGAAAAATAGGAACTGCGGCGAGCGCCGTTTATTATCTGACGCCTAATATTTTTTTTAAAACGAAATTTATTTAAAAAATTTATCATGATGTCTGTAGTAAAAAAGAGGGGTACCAGTAATTGTTAAAAACATTGTGAACGAGGATAATTTTTTAAAAAATAATGATTAAATTATATTTTTCTCCTTTTATCTTATTTTTTAAATTTATTTTATTTCTTTATACGTTAAAATGTTATTTCAAATCTTTATTTTTTATATTTAGATTAATTTAATCTTTTTGAAATAATAATTTGTAATTTTATAAAATAATTTTGGATCATTTTTTTATTAATACAATATGTAAAAATTATATTATTATATTTATCTATATAAAAATTATGAAATTTAATTAACATTTGAATTAAAAAAAACTATAAATATAACAAATCATGTGAAAATATATTCTATGAATAATTAAAAATAATATAAAATTAATTTTTATTTTTATTATTTTTTAGATTTATTTTTATGTAATTTTCACCATATTTATTACACTTTTTATTTTAATTTCAATTATATTCATTAGTTTTCATATAAATAAATATAATAAGATAAGTTTAAAATTTTGAACTAGTCAAAAAATTATTCAAAATCACGTTTCAAAATAAAAAAAAATAGTCATTATTTCAAAAGAATCAAATAGACTTAAATTTAGAAAGTAAAAAAACTAAAATGAACATTTTAAAAGATAAAGAATTAAAATAAATCTAATAAATAAAATAAAGGATTAAAAGTATAATTTAACAAAGTATTATTTATATTCATTATTATTTTTTACACACATCTAATATTAATGAATATACTGATGTCAGCATAGGGTAAATTTTCATTAGATTATGTGATTTTACCAAAAAAGTATGCCATAGCCCACAGGTTCCTCTATTGTGACAGTGATCAAGCGAACTTAATTGGAAATCATAAGACTCAACGAGCAAGGGTGCAAAATTTTTTGGTTTTTATATAAAGAGATTTATGGCATTAATTGGCAGAATTTTTTATTCACCACAAAAATAATATAGCAGATCTACCTAACAGTGCACTAATCTCAACAAATGAGCAAGAACGAATAATATGGATCCCGATCTCTTCCTCCATATTTTTTTTTATGAAATGCATTTTTTTTTTATAATTTATAATTTGTTAATACAATATGAATTTGAATCCAATAATGACATCAATCATCAGAAGCCTCTGCTGCTTCCCACCGCCCCAAAAAAAATTGGCACTTAGCTCCCTCCAACAGTTGAGTTTTTTTTTTCACCATTTAACAATATTGATAGTTGGTAGAGAGTAGAGAAGTAATAGGAAACACACTGCCTTTCCAAAAACAAATGAGAGAAAACTCTTCGGTAACAAGAACATATACATGAATTTAAAATGCTATTCAGCCAAACATTTCTACAGTAATTTTTTATACAATGATGTGGCATGCTGGTTGATTATTAGATGCCGTTTGATTTCGTCAAACCACCAACCCTATCACATTATAGTCAGTAGTACTAGTACCTCTATTTTCACAATTTAACTCTTTCAAACATATAATTAAGCTATATTCGTAAATTACATTTCTAAACTTCGTACAGCAGATGCAGTGTCACGCTAAAATGATGTAGAAACTCGTGACTACATTACCAAAGTAATCATGGATTCATCGACTTTCGTCCAGTTAGGTGCCAATGTAAGGCCCACGGACGGACACTGGTGGGCCATGAGAGTATTTCCATTCTCCACAACACAAGCATCTATCTACATCAACACTGTTTTCTAGAGTACAAAATTTGCAAGACCAAACTTTGAACTTGGAAACATCTCTCTGCTTCTGTGTTCCGCAGGCTTCACATAGTAATGCTAATGGCTGCAGTACATCAAGTCATCGGAATTCATTTCTATTCAATGTGTGGAAAAGTTGTTATACACAAATATATGAGAAATTTTCTAATCACATAAAAAATGATCAAGTATATATAAAAATTAAAAATTAAAAAAACTGCAAAACATAGATTTAGATCCAAATGCAGTTAATTAACTAAACCAACAAGCCCTCGATCAATGGGTTATAGGGATCGTAGGGTTGCAAAGCATAAAAACTCCTCTTGACGTTCAAGCATTTTTTGGTTAATCTTGATTAAATATGTTTTTCAACAATCTTCACTGATGAAGGTGATACAGATAAATAGTGATGGACAAAACCAATACGCCTATACATACATGATGTTCCGTAATTTTTTCAAATAATAGGCTATAACTGTTATGAATTTACACCTTAGAGAATCTTAGCATAACTAATATATGCTCATATAATAGATGGTAAAAGTTTTGGCGTGGGGGGCATGGCCCCTCTTGGCTCCAAAGAAGATCTGCCAAGCATGGGGCGCATATGCGTAATATTGATCCAAGTACCTATTCAAAATTGAAGTCACAAGGGAAGATCTATAATGTACTTATATGACAGGGGAAGACTTACCTAATCCTAATACCTACAATCACAATAGCCGGGCTACATTCATACGCTAATTAATTAGTAAGCAAATTGACACCACTCTATATCCTTGACCCTAGAATTCTGTAACCATTGTACAACTTAAATCATTTACTTGCTAACAAAGCACATGGGCACATCTAATAACACTTACTTATCACTGGCTCAAGGCACAAATTGGCTTTTGAACGATCCTTTTCATTCTTCTATGTATGCTGAAGTTAGATGGAGAGTGGAGAATGCAAAATTTCAGATTGATAGGGTCATTATTTCTGATTGAATGCGGCAATGAAGCAGATTGTACCTTTTATGCATTCTATCAATTCTATAATCATACCAACATAACAAATTGTACCTTATTTAATAAAGTGCAAGTAATGCATTTCCATTCTGCTCCCTCAAATGTTTCCTTGACTGATGCAGATTGAACAGCAGAAGTTTGAATAGATCTTGCAGAAGGTCCTATAGAACCTGTACTCTCCTGTATACAAGTCTTGCGCCCTACAGACTTTGAACCACACCACATGTCATCATGCAGTCTCCTTTCAGCAGCCATGGCAGCAGCTTGTATTGGACTCAGAGCAGACTTAATCTTATTATCACCACCTAAATACTGAGGTCCAGAAGGCAGCAAAGCTCTATGATGTGCTCTGTTTTCAGCAGCAGCCAATGCAGTCTGGCGAAGTGATGACAAAGGTGGTTGCCCAGAGAACCCACCAAGACGTCTCCCATAATGGTCAAAGTCAAATCCTTTCCCAGTGCTGCTAATCCCTTTAACCATCAGTTCTTCACATTCCTACAGTTGAATAGAATCTGAACTGAGTACACAAATTATCTATATCATTATCGATCAATGCCAATAATGATGTGTGTATGTATAATAAGATAGCAAGTCAACACAAACAGGATCCTAATTTAATAGAATATTATTAACACAGCATTTGAGAATAAGGATTCCATTTGTACTTAGGCAGAGTGTGTATCAGATGGCAATCTTCTTTTTTAAATTCATCAATACATGAAATACCTTTTTTGATTAGGGAAAATAAGTAAGAGATAGCCAGATGGGTGCATCTGCCAGAATAACTTGGTGTGAATATAAAGTTTATGCAACATCTTAGGACACAAGGTAACAACAGTCTCCCAGTCCCCAAGTTATTTTTCCGCTTGCGTATGTATGTGCACCCTATAGGAATGCACTAATTTATGCATATATATTGACATGTAAAACAATGCATACATTACCAGTATAGTGTTTGACCATTAATTGGACATTTTTCATTTGAAAACCCCATGTAAAAGGTGAATACATACCATTCAAAATATAAAAGTCATATGAACTCGAAGAATGTATTTATAGCCAAGTGTAGACAGCATCAGCTTGACAGAGAGCTAAACATCATTACCTTCCTGATTTCATCCAAAAGATCATAAAACTGAGCATTGTGGGGACCATGTTCATTATGGCAAAGCTCGTGCAACATAGTATCAAGAATCTGCTCATAAGGGAAGAAATCCCACTCGCGGTTAGGCCTCCGAAGTCTTAGCTTTATTTCTGCACCCGGTCCTATATTTAGCCCTAAAAGTGATGGATTGGCAGGACTGCACTCTGAAGTTTTAGACAAGTAATACTAGCGCATGTTTATAACATTAAAACATAAAATGAAGGGATGTAAATAAGCAAGTACCAGAATTCAGAAAGAACATTGACTTTCCATTTTCTTTTTCGCATTATTGGTTGAACCTGCTTGGCTACCTTTTCTAGAATCTTCCCCGCTTCATCTTCTCCAATTCTTTTGAGCGGCTTAATTTCCCATACCTTGTTAAGATCATTAAGATCCATGCTAGCTGATAAGAAAATGACAAATGAAAACCCTAAACCCTAAAAATCAGATAAGTTTCTAGTCTAAGACCACGAATCAGTAGTCATACCAAGTGACTTGGGAGCGACGGAATTTGTTCGCCCCAGAAAATGAGTTCAAAATTAGCTCACAAAATACAGAATTGAATCCAGTGAACAATAAGGTAATTGATAGAAATTAGGCAAGAATTCTCAGAAACTGACCTCAATAACGCAACGGGTGGGTACAATTGCCTCGTTAAATTTATTTTCTTCAGTAATTCATGATATATCAAAGTCTAATTATTTTATAATTGAATTTAAATTTTTTAATATATATGAAATTTGTAAATTTTTTTAAATATATATATATATATATGATTATTTATTAATTTGAATTAAAAAATAAAATATTAAATAATTTTTAAAATTTTTAAAATTTTGTAAATTTAATTTATATATTAAAAATTTTAAATTTAATGGTTAAATTGTTAAAATTTGATATAGAACATGAACATTAATTTTTTTAAATTTATTATTAAATTAAAAAATTTTTACTTCTAAATTATATATATAACACTTTATATTAATCCAATATAATTTCATAGATCATTCCTATAGAACAAAATTAATGTAATATGTACAAAATTGATATAATATATATAATTTAAAATATATTAAAATATGAATATTTTAGTTACCTTCAAATTATTATTTAAATTTAACAAAATTTGATATGCACATACAAGATTATATGAAATTATAATTTAATAATTAAATCGACAAAATTTACATTTAATATAAGATTAATAAGTGAAGTAATAGTTGTTAAAAATTATAGTAGTGTCGTTTACACTTATTCTCTCGTACTTACATACGCATACATATATATATATATATAAACTAAATTATAGTTTTCTGTCTCTTTATTTATTTTAAGATTCAATTTTGGTCTTATTATTTTTAAATATTTTTATTTTTCTAAAAATATTTAATATTATCTTTTCATTTAAATTAATATTAATATTGTCAATGAAATTCAATAGAAAAAAATATTAAATATCATTTAAAAATTAGATAATTATATTGAATCATTTAAAATATTTAATTTGATCTTATTATTTTAAAATATTTAATTAAAAAAATATTTAATATTATCCTTTTTACTTAATTTCATTAATACTGATAACATAAATTTCAACGAATTAATAGTATTGTACATTTTAAAAAATTAAAATATTAAATTAAATTTTTTAAAAATAATATAACTAAATTAAATTTTAAAAATAAATAGAAGAATTAAAAATATAATTTAAGTTATTTGTCAATAAAGAAGATGACCAATTGATCATCCAGTTAGACTCTTTGGGCCCAAATTCCTAGACTCTTTTCTTCTGCTGTGTGTAAGGAGCAACATGCTGCAAAAGACAGTCAGGCCCATAAAGATACGAAAAAGAATTCTGGTATTACTTTGAGAAAGGTTAGAGTGGGGAAGAGATAAATAACTTGTGTGAAAAGAAAAAAAAAAAAAAAAAAAAAAAAAAAAAAAAAAAAAAAGGACACAAATTAGAGGAGTTAATAAGGTTTTATTTATTTATTTTAGTCCAAAAATCATGTTTGATTCAGGAACATTGATTCATAATGTTTTGATAAGAAATAGAATGCAGAAAAATTAAAATAAATAAATTTAAAGTATTCAATTTAAAAGAAATTAAAATATAAAATAAAAAAATATTATATATTTGTATACTATAGAAATAAATAAATAGAAAAAATAAAATAAATAATAAATAAAAAGTAAAAGTGTTTGATTAAATAGAAATAAGAACCTACAAAAGTAAAAATAAGAAATAAATATTAAACTTTCATTAATTACTTTTTTTTTATTTTAATGGATCAAATCAAAATATTAAATCAATTACAAAAAAGTTATAATCAATTAAATTTCTCAATATAACAATAGTGGCCTTCGTAAAAGTTATAAACATGAAGTTTAATCAATTAAATAATATAAATTAAGTTTTTGATTTTACTTTAAAATTAATGTTTTTAAATATCAGTTTTCTTAAAATATTAATTGAAAATATTTTTTCTAAATAAATGGATCTTAAATTGTCAAAAATTAAACTTTTTATAATGTATTTTTCAAGTACATTAAAATTTGATCTTATTTTTATATCAAGATAGTTTTCTTTTTAATAGTATAATATATGCTCCGCATGATAAAATGTCATTATTATATTTTTCTGTTTTCGAAGGGGTAAATTAATCTAATTTTTTAAGACAAATGACATGACTTATATCTTTTAAAATGTTATATTTGCAAATGTTAATTGATTTGTTTTATATCAAAATATCAATAACGTGCCTCTTTTAATCCTATTTTATTATTGAACATTTTTAATATAAACCATATATATATAGTTATAGCCGACAAGTTATTTGAAAAGCTAAAAACTTAGTTGAAATGAAAAAAAAAACTTTTTAAATGAAATTGATTAATTTAATTTTTTGGATTAAAATTTTCATAATATTAATCATTAATAATAAATGTAGATTAATATAATTTTCATATAAAATTTATAACTGTGTAGATAATTTTTATGTATTTATAATTTATATTTTTATTTTATCTTTTTTTTTTTGCTTAAAGATTAGACATTTTATAATTTAGTTAATCGTTCATGTAATTTTTGTTATGTTTATATATATTTTTTTATAAATTATTCTCTATTTTATTATTATTATGGATTAACATTAATTAATAAATTATATTTATATATTAATATCAATTATATTACATATTATTATTAATTTATGGGTAATGTTTATTGGGTTTCTAATGAATGGTTCGTGATGGGTTGAACTATTTAGTAGTCTGTTGAGAGGTTTCTGGTCTCTACTGGTAAGGATATAGAACTGATATCCCATTATACATTTTCTGTGTCTTTTGCCTTTTCACCTTCTACCAGGAAGAGAGCAGTTTTTTCTCACGTTGTTCAAAACTAACATGAATGGATCCTTTATTGATTTTGGATACGCAATTCTTTCTAAATATTACTCAGACATACTATAATATTGTATCTTATATTATTCATTATTTGAGTTATCATTATGAATTTCTAATAATTTTCAGTTATCTTATTAACTATTTTTTAATTAGACGTAACTTTTTGGTAATATATGCACGTAAAACTCTTCATTTTGATAAAATAAGTTTATTAATCACATGACTGATAAATTAGTTGAAATAGTCAATCAAATACACTGGAAAATCAATTATTTAGAAGAAATCATATAAACTTATTTGATAAAAATGTTAAAAAGAGGTGATTGAAAATATATTATTATCAATATTTTATTACTCTAGACTTAAATATGGCTAAACGATCATTGTAGTGTAGTTTTAGAAACTTATTACCATAATGGGGCTGTTTTGAAACATTTTACACCTTTGGGGTTGTTTTACTGGGTGTCGCTATGGGCCACAGCGACACCTATGACACGTGGCAAATTTGGGTTTCAATATAAGCCATGAACGCCATATTAAACGAGTCGTTGTAGCTGGTGGAGACTTTTATAGAGGCGCTATAGGCTAAAGCGCCTTAAATCGGCTTAAAATAATGTGAAATAAATTAAAAAACAAAAAAAAAATTAAAAACTGAGGCGCTGTGGCCTAGGGCGCCTCCAAGGCGTTTGGGCTCACAGCGCCTCAAGTGGTCTGATATTTATACCATATTTAATATTTTATAAATACAAATAATGAAAATTAATTTTTTTAAAAATTTCTGATAAAAAATAAAAAAATAATAGAAATTTTTAAAAATATAAAGTTAAAAAATGAAGTAATATAATGTGAAATAAATTTAAAAACGAAAAAAAAATTTTAAAAATTGAGGCGCTATGGCCCAGAGCGTGACCGCACACAGGCTGACACGTGTCCACAGCTAATTTGAGGCGTTGCAACTCATAGCGCCTCATTAATTGACCGCCTGCGTGATCACACAGAGGCTGACACGTGTCCACAGCTAATTTGAGGCGTTGCAACTCATAGCGCCTCACTTGGCGCGTAATAAATTCACCGGGTGCTTAGCCAATGAGACGCTGACACGTGGCACTGCGGTTAAAATTTTTTTGTATGTAATTATAATTATTAAAAAATTAAATTTATATAAATTTTAAAATGATTTCATTTAATTCTATGTTATTTATGTTAATTAAAAAAATATTTTATTTATATTTGAAATAGCTGTAATTTAATTCTGGTTAATTTAAATTTTTTCGTAAATAATTATATTTAAATTATAAATTGATATCATTTATTTCTGTGTAATTTATGTTTATTAAAAAAATAAATAATTAAAAATTTAAAAATGATTTAATTTATTTCTGTGTCATTAAATTTATATTTTTTCGTAAATAATTATATTGAAATTATAAATTGATATAATTTATTTCTGTGTAATTTATGTTTATTAAAAAAATAAATAATTACAAATTTATAAATGATTTAATTTATTTCTGTGTCATTAAATTTATATAAATTCTAAATTGATTTAATTTAATTCTGTGTTATTTATGTTAATTAAAAAAAATTGATTTATATTTGAAATACGTTTAATTTATTTCTGCTTAAATATTGAATTTATTTATTTTAATTCTGTTTTAATTTTATTTAATTAAAAAATAAGTTTATTTAAATTTTGAATTTATTTAATTTAATTCTGTTTTAATTTTATTTAATTAGAAAAAAAGTTTATTTAAATTTTTTAATTTATTTAATTTAATTCTGTTTTAATTTTATTTAATTAGAAAATAAGTTTATTTAAATTTTTAATTTATTTAATTTAATTTAATTCTGTTTTAATTTTATTTAATGTAAAAAATAATTGAAAAACGAAAAAAAAAAAGGGGCACTATGAGCCACAGCGCCACTCAGGCGTACTGGGCCACAGCGCCTGTTAAGAAAATAATTTAAAAAATAATTGAAAAATGAAAAAAATAAATAAAAAATGGGGCACTGTGAGCCACAGCGCCACTCAGGCGTACTGGGCCACAGCGCCTACTAAAAAATAATGTAATAAATAATTTAAAAACGAAAAAAATAAATTATGTGGCGCTGTGGCTCACAGTGCCACTTTGGCGTACTGGGCAAGCCTATAGCGACACTGGTCCAGCCCAATCAAGCCTAAAAAAAAAACCCACGTGTCATGAGTGTTATTATGGGCCATAGCGACACCCAATAAAAGAGCCTCAAAGGTGTAAATTGTTTCAAAAGAGCCTTATTTTGGTAATAAGTTTTTAAAAATGCGCTACAGTAGTCGTTTAGCCCTTAAATATAGGATACAACTTAAACAAACTTCTTTTGTACGCTTGTTGTCAATTTCTTAAATTAAATAGTGATATATAAACATTTTTTTTTTAATTTGATAACACATATCTAATTATAAAGGTGACTTAATATCAAAAAATTGTTCACGTATCATTAATTTTATTTAAAAATTTGATGGTAAAAATTACGTGCATGTTTGGATTGGATTTTGAAACTTGATTTTACACTCTCTCCACGTTGAAGATGAATTTTACGTGGAAGTAAATTTTTTTTACTTCAACTAAACTTATTGCTTTGAAACCAAACATGCACTACTTCAATTTCACCATCCACGTGAACGTGATTCCTCAATTTTGTTTCTATCGCACATAGTATATGCGCCAATCAGCACTTTTGCAATAATTAAATTGAATAGATAACTATACTTTTACACAATTTTTTAAACAATTATTACAATTTTGAAGAGAGATAAAAAAAAAAGGAAAATAAATAAAGAAAGTTTCAGGGGAAACAACCATTACAAAAAATCCTATAAATATTTGTTATTACTTTAATAATGGACAATTTTATCAAGAATAATATTATTTCCTTTTTTTTTATAATCATTTTGTATCATATCGGTCATCTTATTTCATAAATTTCTCCATTCTCTTGTTTTTTTTTTTGGGTTGTTGTACATATTATCGTGGGACATATATTGACGTGGAAATTACGTTACTCTTCTGTGAACATGTTGAGAAGTGAAGGTGAAGATGAAACCATAAGATAACCAAGAAATGAGACGACATTGATTATCGAAACCACATTAATTGAGGACCTCTAAAATATGAGATAAACACACTTGTCATGTTTTGCCATAAATATCTCTAATGGTTACTTTAAAAAAGAACAATTTAGGTGCTTTAAGAATGTTTCAAATATTTTTATAATGTATACATAAATAAAAGATGAGTTAATCACTACTATGCTAAAAAAAATTTACACCAACAATTAATTGTATCTTTTAATTATAATTATATCTTTTAATTATATTATATTATTATAAATATATTTATTTTTAACATTGATATGACATAATTAAAAGATATAATTGATTGCCCAATAAAAAATTTTTATTATGATAGTATATAAGTGATTAATTGAGTAGCTGAAAAAAGCAGTAAACCAGGGGCGAATTTATTCCTGGATGGGCTTTACATTAGCATTTATAGGCAAGGTAGATGAAAGTAGAGATTTAGAATAATTGAATGGCGTATGCGTATACGAAAGGAGGCTTGAGGTTTAGCTGGATTGGTTCAGAGCAACGTGGTAGTAGCAGAGGAAGAAAAGGGTCTGTTGTTTCATTGTTGAGCAAGGAGAAAGGAGGTGGTGGATGTTGGAATTTGGATAATAAAGGCAGCAACACCATCTTGGTCTCCGAGAAGCTTGGAGAGGCAGGGCTTCAAGTGCTACGCGAATGGGGAGACGTTGAATGCGCCTACGACCTCTCACCCCAAGACTTGTGCTCCAAGATCTCAGGTTGCGACGCTTTGATTGTCAGGAGCGGCACCAAGGTCACAAGAGAGGTGTTCCAAGCTTCCCAAGGAAGATTGAAGGTTGTTGGGAGAGCTGGTGTGGGCATCGATAACGTCGATCTCCACGCTGCCACTGAGTTTGGCTGCATCGTCGTCAATGCACCCACCTCCAACACCATCGCTGCTGCAGAACATGCCATCGCACTCCTTGCCACCATGGCTAGAAACGTTGCCATGGCTGATGCCTCCATCAAAGCTGGTATATATTTATTTATATATTTCTCATTACTTTCTACACATGCATGTGCAACACAACCTTCTTCATAATCATACATATATACTTGTTTCATTCATAATTCAATATTACAGGAAAATGGCAAAGAAACAAGTACGTTGGTGTTTCTATGGTGGGAAAGACATTGGCGATCATAGGATTTGGAAAAGTGGGATCTCAAGTGGCACGACGTGCGAAAGCGTTGGGAATGAATGTGGTTGTGCATGATCCTTATGCCTCTGCGGATAGAGTCCATGCTATCGGCGTTCATTTGCTGTCTTTTGATGAGGCCATCTCCAGTGCAGATTTCATCTCTCTCCACATGCCACTCACTCCATCCACCAAAAAGATATTGAACCACACCACTTTTGCAAAGATGAAGAAAGGTGTGCGCATCATCAACGTGGCCAGAGGCGGAGTCATTCACGAAGATGACTTGGTAAAGGCCCTTGATGATGGAATAGTTGCTCAGGTATGCTCCTTTTCCTTCGTTCATTCTCAAATCTCAATCAGCAAAACAATCCTCATTGGTATGGCTATATGGAACATGGAACAGGCTGCACTTGATGTGTTCACGGAGGAGCCCCCTCCCAAAGATAGTAAGCTAGTGCAGCACGAGAAAGTGACAGTTACACCTCACCTTGGAGCTAGCACAAAAGAGGCACAAGAAGGTGTAGCCATTGAAATAGCAGAGGCTGTGGTGAAAGCGTTGAAGGGGGAACTTTCAGCGACCGCTGTCAATGCTCCCGCGGTTTCACCTCAGGTATTTAATTAATGATAAACAAAAGTATGTCGATTAGTCATTAGTTGTCGTTATCATGTTAATGGAGAAAAAAAAAAGCATAGCATATATGTATTAGGCATATGTATATTTGAGTCATGAGTTAATTTGTATATACGATGAATGAATGAATGGAGCATGCATGCAGGTGGTGTTAGAACTGGGTCCATATGTTGTGCTGGCTGAGAAGCTGGGGCGGGTAGCTGTGCAGTTGGTGTCTGGAGGAAGTGGAATAAAGAATGTTAAGTTGGTTTATAGATCAGGAAGAGGGGCAGATGATCTTGACACTAGACTTGTGAGAGCCATGATCACAAAAGGCATCACTGAACCAATATCCGGTAAAGCCATCAACTTTGTAAATGCAGATTTCATTGCCAAGGAGAAGGGGCTCCACATAAGTGAGGAGAGAATAGTTGTTGATTCATCTCCGGAGCATCCTCTTGATTCAATCCAGCTAGAGATATCAAATGTGGAGTCAAAATTTGCGAGTGCTGAATCAGAGGGTGGTGACATAAGCATAGTGGGAAAAGTGAAGTACGGTACCCCCCACCTGACATGTGTGGGATCCTTTGATGTGGATGTGAGCTTAGAAGGGAACCTAATACTGTACCGGCAGTTGGATCAGCCTGGTATGATTGGGTTGGTTGGAAGTATATTGGGTCAACATAACGTGAATGTTAGCTTTATGAGCGTGGGAAGGACATCTCGGAGAAAGGTGGCTGTTGTGGCTATTGGTGTCGATGAAGAACCAAACAAGGAAGCTCTTCACGACATAGGAGCTCTGCCTTCTATCCAAGAGTTTGTCTTTCTCAAACTCTAGTTGCAATTGCCTCACCATGCATCAGTACTTTGGATGCTAGCTAGAAAACCTATTTGTCACCTAATCAGAGGTTAAATATATATATATATATATATATATAGGCAACAATAGAGAGACACAAATAAATCATTAATTTTAATTAGGTCGTTGAAATGGTGATCTATCCAAATATTATTGTCAGTGTGTGCTTCTCCGTTGGCTTTGCAACAAGTTTTGCCATAGTCAGGGTCAAGGTTCGGCTATTTGCTTAATAAATTCTTGTAACTGTTGCTTCTTTATTTGTTATCCATGTTCTTAAATTTTAAATGGATACATAATGAAAGAATAAAAGGAGAGATAAAAGTTGAACAAATTTGTGAATATGATTAGCTAATTAATAGGATGCGATACAAATGAAGTTTTATATGGTTATCAATAATTAGTGCATGTTTGCAACCACATATTATACGTGCGTCAGTTGGTGAAACCAAGTCAAATAGCAAACTAAACGTGGAAGTCATATATATCAACTTCTCTATGATGCAGATCAAAGACATGCGATGTGAAAACAGACATGCTATCAGTAAAAAAAAAATAACACGTACTGAGCAATAATTTAAGTCTTACTCATCAATAATCCTCGAAGGAGTTCCCTTTAAGTATCTAATTACTCTGTATGTTGAGTTATAATGTGTCATGGTAAAGAAGCTAATGAACTAGCTAGCTTAGCAAACCAAGATAATATCTAATCTAGTCCTAGGTAAGCAGCGAAGTCTCTCGTAGCCTTCTATATCCCAAAACATTCTCATATGCCTTGCTTGAATCTTAATGAAGGGGTCCAGAGGAGTTCTTGCTGGCTTAGACCTAAGTAATCATCATGTAGCAAATCAAGATAATATTACTCTTTGTGAAACTTTTTGGTAGAATCAATATTTATATATTAAACATTAACCTTTATTTTTTAAAGAGTTTTTAGAAATTTCTACGAGAAATTATAGGAAATTTTTTAACCACTTATCTAATTTAATTTTAATTAATTAATTAATTATTAATATATTAAAATAAAATATCAATAAATAAAAATATTTTTTTACAACATAAATTATTTACCATAAATCTAAAATATAATTTATATATCTAAAAATATTTATGCATACTTATTTTAAATATAATTTATATATTCAAATATAATATTTTTATATATAATTTATTGTAAATTTTAATTATATCACTATAATAAATATGAATGTGCATTTTACAACTTAAAATATTAGTTTACATATAATCTAGTTATCTAACAATTTCATCAAAATCATTAAGATTTCATATGAATTTTTTCTCATTTATTTATTTATTTTCTTAACCTTTTTTTTCTCTCTATCTTTTCCGTCTCTCGCTCATCTTTTTTTTTTTTTCTCTCTCATTCTCCTCTATTTATTTGCTATATATTTTTCCCTCCATTTCTCCCCTCTCTATATTCTTCTCTTCTCCCCCCCCCCTCTCTCTCTCATTCATCTTTCATTTATTTTTCTCATTTATTTTTTTTCTTGGTTTTCTCTCTATATTTTCTCCTATCATTTTTTATTTGTCAATAATGTATTGTATTTTTATCTATCAATATTGATATATAATTTATTTTTAATTATTAAATAATATATATTGTTAAAAAATTTAAATTAATAAAATTTAACAAATATTTATTTTGAATAAAATTTAATATTGAAATATAAGTTTTTTAAACATATATTAAAAATATTTTTCAACAATTGTACTAGTTAATGAATATCATAAATTTGAACATATTGTTCAAATTCAATAATATGAATGAAAAAGATATAAATGTATTGAGAGTTGTACATAGAAAAATGTTAATTAAGATGACATAAAATTAGAATCAATTTTTTATTAAAAAATTGAAAATTATATTAATTTAATTTTCTTTATTCAAACCTCATAATTTATGTTATATATATTTTTATAATTATATTATTTTAAAAATATATATTATCATTTGAAATCTAATTAAAAAAAATTTAAAACCCTATAAATTTTTAAGATACAAACCTATTAAAATGCATATTAAAAAAATGAGTAAATTGCATTATCATTTTTTAGTGATAAGAATATTACATTATTATTTTCTCTTATGTTAAAATATATAATTTAGTTTATAGAACTTATCTTTATTAATGTAAATTATACTTCCTTCCATTGAGAAATGTAGATATTATACTATTCGTCCTGAATATATTAAAATATAAAACAAACTACATTTTATCGCCTAAAAATATAAATATTATATTATCATTTTAATGTGATATTAACTCAACGAATACTCATTATAAAAATTTAAAATTTAATTATTCAAAAAAATATACTTTTAATTAAAATATATTTTAAAATACTTTTAATTCATCATCAATCATTCACTTGATTAAAAAACTGTAAAATATATGATTAAATTTAAATTAATTATTAAAAGAATAAATATAATAGAAACTACAAAATAAATTATATATACGTTTTTATATACACATCAATAATATAATATAAACTAACTTATATATATATATATATATA